AATCGAGGATTACATCTATAATTTAGGACAGAGTTATGAGCAATGACTAAATAATTCCTTACTAATTTCAGGAGCAGAGCTAACGTTATGGCAGGGGTGTGGAGGATGCAGCTCCCAAAGCATGAAAACTAACAGGTTACGTGATGACAGTGAGGAATTTCAACACTACAAAAAAGGTTCAGATGATGGTCGGTGACGTTTCTGATGTGGTTTTTGATGCACTTCAAACTATGGTAATTTTAGATGCAAGTTTATGATTTCAAATCCAGTTTAGCAAGTACATAACATGATGAAGAGCAGTCGCTTTGACTGAAATCAGGAAAACACCAAAATGACTAATGAAGAATCACTTTCCTTTATGGTTTAAATATTTTTACAATAATTTATAGTCGTTTAACTTTCAAAAATGTTATTTACTGTCACAAACATCCTTTTTCTGATAAATACTAATTTTAACCCAAAATGTTATTTTCTCCTAAGTTCTCTTTTATTATTAAGACCATGTTTACAAAGACACCAAATAAATCCACTAAATGTTAAGCTAGTCGCCTCTATATAATAAATAATTTACATTGTAGCAAAAAGAATGTATAGTAGGGTTGGGCAGTATTGATCTTTTTCATACTGACATATTATCTTTAGATCAGGGGTTCTCAAGCCATTTGGGTCTGTGGACCCCCTACAAGGGTGAAAATATTCCAGGGACCCCCTCATAAACCTCATGCTGTTTTAAAAAGAGCATTTATTGTCATTTCAACTCCTAAATGCCATGGGAATATATATATTTATTAAGTTTATTATGTTTTTATTAAGTTCATTGTTCTCCATGCATTTTTAAAAATAAAAACCAAATTAACTATTTAGGAAAATTTTTTGAGGATTTGGTTGAGTCCCTTAGTGGCCTGGTGAACGCCAAGATACCCGTCGCGGACCCCAGTTTGAGAACCTCTGCTTTAGATAATACCACGATATAGGGTAATTAGCAGGGCAGGACAGAAAAGAGACGAGGCAGTGGGGTGTACAGTCTGTGGTGTGTTGAGCTACTTTCTCCCGCTTTTGTAGTCTTTACCAACACAGAACTTCAACTTCCTTTTATTTTCTTCTTCCTGTAGATTTTTTGGCACTGTTGGGCCTCAGTCAGAAAAAAGGTCAGGGGGTATGTTTTTTGGGACTGCCGGAAGAATAAGACTGACGGTGGCCTGAGCTGTTTTACAGTGTTTGCTTCTGCCTGCTGCTGCAACACACATCAAATAGGAGGACCATGTACAGAAAAAATAAAGTGGTGGTGATATTTATGATAACTCTGGTTTAGTTTTGGCCTATGAACACAGTTTAAAGTCTCTACTTTTGACACAAATTGAACAGAGTCTGAGAGAAGGCGTATCTTAACGGCTAGAGTGATTTAAATGTCCTGTGACTAGGCTCCAGAGGGTTAATATTCGACATACCCTATATTAACGGTAATAATTTTTAAGTACCATTGATATAATTCAAAACCAATGCATACCATAATATCATCACACTGTACAAGCCTCATGTAAAGACAGTAAAGATAACCTAACCAGAGGAGTTTTTGGTTCTTAGATATCAGTTGTCACAAGATGCAGTTATGATCAGTTAATTAGATCTATATGAACATGACTATCATTAATTAATCTGCTGTCCACACTTTTCCCACCGATAGAATAAATGAGCCTGTCTTTTGCTCTGAACACGGCCAATCTCCATTTAAAATGGCTGTCAAATATAACAAATAAAATGAAATTTCCATTTAAATGAACAGCAGCTCTTCTTTATTGGGTGGTAAAGTATCTGTAATTAATTTGCATCAAACAAATTATAGGAAGATAAATTATAAAAAGGCTTTGTGTTACAGTCAAACCTTCCCTCAGCTGTGAAACCTCTGCCAGACCTCTCACATCTGTCTGAAGGAAAAACAAATTTACTCCATAGGTGTTCCTAAAAAAATAAACTGCTACACCTCAGAGTCAAACAGCTCCTAACATCTGTTCAGCATCTGCTGCTGTGGTTTTTGAATCTGGAAATCAAATAAACTCACAATTTATGGCAGAAAATCAATTTTATGTGGCTTTACTTGGGCAAAATTATTATTGCTCACTGCAGAAGGTGAAAGGATAATTGTTTTCCTTGTTTAGTGTTAGCAAAATAACAAGAACAACATAATAGATTTAATCAAAACTTTCTAAAGTAGTAATTTGATATTCTTCTACAACTGATTCAATTTTGGAGCAAATCTGCTACCATGGCTAATTAAACTTAGCAAACACAACAAAGGATGCATCAGACATGTGACAGTCATTCCCAACACACAATCTGATTGTTAACACCTAAGGGCAAGCAATCAAACTATTTTTCTATGTAAAAAAAATCAGTCCTAAAAAATAAAACTAGCTATGCTGCTACATTTAGAACATTTAAACCTGTGAGTCAGATTTGTCCTGAACACATTTCAAACCAAAATGTGATCAGCTTTTATTATTTCTAACTTATTTTTTACAATATTCCAGTTCACAACTGAAATATTACTTTAATTACAGAGAAGTACTGAGATTTAAATTTAAAAATTACTTTATAAAGTTTTGGCTAAAATACCAGTATCAACGCGTTTTCAATGGGTTTTATTTCTTTTTAGAAAAAGAAAGAAAGAAAAACCAGAACAACTGCAAGTAAAAAATGCTGCAAACTCACTTCAGAAAATGAAAGTTCACCAGGCCAGTAAGGGGACTCGACCACCAAGTCATATGGAGCCAGACCTCTCAGTTAAGGGGACATTTCATGCAAAACCTACTTTTTTAGCTGTTAAATACATTTTGTTGTGTAGTTAGAATCTCTAGGAGTGAAGATGAATTTAGTCTCTTCTGGTGATGCAAAGATATCTTTATATTCTATTTGGGTCATATTTTTCATTATGTTCAGTTTTCTCTATTTTCTATGACGTTTTCGAACTATTATGTCAAATTATCTGTGATGGATTTGCCAAATAAGGTCTGGACTTGCCAACTACAATTTCCTCGTCTTCATTCTCCTCTTGTTTGGTCAGACTTTGACTCCAACGTGTAAGGCTGGATGGACAAGACTTCTGTTGTTGACATATTTTAATTAAATTGTAAATAAAACATTTCTGCATGCTCCAAAATGCTAACCCCCTCTCTCAAACTGGAGTGGACCGGTCTGGAAGTTGGAGGGGGGCAGGGCTTGAAGCATCTTAAAGGAACATTTGGAGAAAGGCAATCCAGTTTTATATAAAGCCTCTTTCACAAGACAGGTCTGCGAAATCGCCGCACAAACCAGTCCGGCATTAAGCTCCCTCAGGTCATTCATAAATCACAGGTGAAGCTGGACAGGTCCCGCTCACATGTACGCGTTCAGAAATGAACCCAGCAGCGCAGAACCAAAAGAGGTGTGGAGCAGATCTAAACTGGGCTGAAGTGGAATTAAATTACATACATTGGAATTAAAATGTGTCATTTAAACACTCCTTTCGGATTAGTCTGATCCGATTCAGCTCGGTCTGAATTAATGTTATTCAAAGACAGGCGATTTATGCCAATTGATAATCCGAACGCCGTGCATGTAAACACTTAATCTGATCGGCTTATTCTGATTGTGAAAAACTGTATTAATTAAAAAATCAAAAAGAAAAAAATTGTATAGGTCCTCTGGACGGGTTCTTCT